CGCGGAGGGACTCCACGCACTTTTTTTTTCCTTTTTAAAAAATAACTATTTTTACTTCAAGGTAGACAATATCACGCCTTCGTGAAAGAAAAAAAATCAGGACATTCTTTTGAAACTGTATACATACACCATACTGATTTTAAAAAGGGCAAACTATCAGCTAAAAAAAGGTTCAGGCAAAAATTTATCTCTGATATTTAAAAAAAAAACACTATTTTTTTGGATGTGGGAATTTAAAACAAGTGGATGTGAAAATTAAGAGAAACTTTAGAATTTTCATTAATGATATAAATCCTTGTTCTACAACCATTTTCTTTAGGAATACAAATCAAAACTGGCTTATTGTTTTTTAATTTTGAATGAAACTGATATAGATATTTATTATGTTCTAGGAATATTTTGCATAACTTCGAATTATGGAAAGTTATCTCCTCCATTTTATCTAAGTTGTACCATAAAGTACACTCGGTTGTATAATCTTTAAGGGCTGCTAAAGAGTACTATAACTTGAAACTCGTTTCAGTCGCTAAATGTTTGGCGATGGGCATTACTTAAAACTAAGGGGTCTGCACTTCTGTTCATAACACATTTGCCCTTTGACGCATTGATGAATCATATCTGTTGTTATAACCCCTGCCTACACCTGCTAGGTGGAATTTCTATCTGGGGACAGGCCTGACACCTTGTGAGCAAAACCTATTAGCAATGTAATGAAAATACCAATTATATTCTAATTTGATATTAGCATAACATAAAAAGAAAACACTACACAACCTAAATATATTCTAAACAATTATCTTTATGTCTTATCTTTAAACAATTATCAAACATGTCATTCTTTTTACTTTAAGATCTTCAAAGAGACTGGAAGATAGTTTTAGATTCTTCAACCCATTTCACTGAAAAGCAAACGAAAACTACATAAAAATAAAATTGGTTCAAAGTCATTAAACAATAATCTTCACTCAGTGTCATTCATTTTCAAATTTTTTTTTAAAACAGCACGAGGTTTTTTTTTAGAATAAATACACTCTATAACAAAAAAATCGACACACCAAGAAGGGGTTGTCCGATTGAAACGAAAATTAGTGGATAGGAAGACAGTGTACAGAATAGTAAATGATTAAAATTTCAGCACGTGCTGTACGTGGTCTGGCATTATCCTGCTGAAAAACCAGCCCAGGGTGCTGCAAAAGGAACGGTAGCAAAACAGGTGTTAGGATGTCGTCGACGTACCGCTGTGCAGTAATTGTACCTCTAATGATGACCAAAGGGGTCGGCTGTCGAAGAAAATGGCATCCCAGACCATAATGCCTTGTGTAGGACCGGTGTGGCGTGCGATAGTGAAGGCAGGATCCCCCCTCTGCCCTGTGCGTCTCCAAACACATCTTCGATAATCGTCAGAACACAGTTGGAAGAGGGATTCGCCGCTAAAGTCTATACGTCCCCAGTCGACATCATTCCAGCCTGATCGAGCCATGCACCACTGTAATCTGTAGCTTCTTGGTGCTTCGATTTTTTTGTTATAGAGTGTAACATAACATTTCTGCATTAATTTAACATATTAAAAGCATTAACTTAAATATGAAAAGTACTTTTTGGACCTTTTCGAAGCCTGTGACTCAGCAGCAAATAATGCATTTCTCGTTTCTCAACTAACCTTAAGCCCATATAAAGCAAGGAAAAAATTCTTTCTCGAAATATTAGTTAAATAATTAGCTGAAACAGAAATTAAAAAAAAAGATTTTATTACGGATCTCTATAATCACCACAAAACTAATATTTAAGCATTATCTAGGCTACCGCAGCCTGTTTAAATCATTTTTTAATGTTTTTCCCAAATAAGGATTTTTTTTTTCTCGCTAAGTTTGTTAAACTTTTTATGTTCAAAAATAAAGCATGCTAAACATACAAAAGGAAATATATCACTTTTACTAAATTATAGGCAAACATAAATCAATATTCATTACTTAACAATTGTTTTGATTCAAAGAAAACAGTACGCCATTTTCACTTAATGATAATATTAAAAACTAATTAATTTCTGGTTAAATTAATTTCTGATGCCTCTAAAGTTTAGTGGCTCTAAGCGATCGGCTTTAGCAAAAGCATGATCACTTAGTTTGCGAGCCACGTTTAAGTAAAATGACATGTTTTTAGAAATGTTTGTTATATTATATACATCTATTTATAAGAAGTTATTGCATATTTCATATTTCTATGACAAAAAGGAAATGTTCATGAGATATACTTATAATCAAGATATGGCATTAAATCGTGAGATTTGGCAACAGTTCTTATTCTGCTTTAGCTAATAATGCAACCACCATCCTGAAAAATACTTTAAAAGATTTTCAGTTACAATGAGTAACAGAAGTGCAACGTGTTTAAGTCGAAAAGAGCCATTTTCTAAAAATTCGAAGAGAAATTCGACAAATTCAAGTAAAGATGATTTTAAGAAATGCCAATTGCCATCCAATTCCACGACACTGAGAGCATAACTCTCAGATGAAGTTTTGGTTTTGAAGTCGTTAATGGCAAATCTTATCTTCTGGTCCAAAACCGTTTACGAAACACGTTGTTGTAAACAATCCACTTCTTATCACCAGTTATCATTACCAAATTCGTTTTAAAAAAATATCGTTTTCTTCAAGTTTCATGAACATATCGCAAATTTTTCTCGTGCTGTTAAATGAACTACTTTAAGCTCATGAGGAACCCAAATTTCGAGATTTCTTACACGTTCCAGTCTCTTTAGATGGACGCGAACACTTTTTTGAAGTGAAACTTTTAATGCGACTTCCAACAAGGTTGCTTTAAACGTTTAACGCTACCATGGCAACGAGCGGCCTGTGATCCTTGCAGGAGATTTTAATGTGAATTTCTCGTTACCTGAAGCAGAAACATTATTAACCTTGAAGACAAAATTGGATTGGAAATGATAAATGGTAGGAATGATCCAACAACCAAAGGGGGAACTACCATTGATGCAGTTTTTGCAAGAAATACTGAAAAAATAGAACTCAAACATTTCGTATCTTACTTAAGTTATCATAATCCCATTGTAAATGTTGTAGATTTGGATATTTCTCCACTCGAAAATGATAATTAAAAGATGCGATCAATTGTGAATTGTAAGCAATGTTAATAAAGTTTGTCTTAAAGAAACAATATGATTTCACTAAAAATCAATTTCTACCCCTTCCTATTTTCATTTCCACATTACGAAGTTTCACTCACTCCGCGCGGAGGGACTCCACGCACTATTTTTTCTTTTTGTTCCAGTAACGCGGGTTTGACCGGATCAATGTCTTAATTTTGTCATCATCAATTCGTGTAAATCTTCCTAATCAAAGGAGCATCCCTCAAATCAAAATCAACAGCTCGGAATTTCTTTAGCCAGTTTTGGCATTGCCGTTCGTGTAGAGCATTGTCATCGTAAAGTTAACGCAATTTTTAATAAGCTTGACGCTCGTTTTTCCTTTTACAGAAGTACCGAATGGGAGATTGATAGTTCTCTAGTTCAGATCAAAATTATAATTTGTGGAATAATGAACTGAATACGATTGGCCCTCCCGGTGGAAAGAGCTGAAGTCGAATTCTTGGCCATAGATGGCGCCACTGAAAAAGCAGAGAACGCACCTTCTCCCTCAAATATTCGCTTGATTTCAATCACGCTTGCTAATTGGCAAGTGGTATAAGTAACAACACCACACACATACACGCACACACACACATGTTTAAATGTTTACAAGATTTAATCCCCGTTTTAACCTAGTTACTGATGCACTTTAACTCCCAAAAAAATCCAGTTAAATAATTTATTTACTCCACTTTTTGTAATTATACTTTCTATCAAAGAACACAAAACACGTTTTAATATTTTAAACATTTATTGAAAATATTAATCAATCAAGAATGAACTTTAAAATAGTTTTTACTTGTTTAACCTACCTTTTGCAATACGTGGGGAATATCAAGCAATAGCTAATGAATGGAGAAAAGCAAACCTGAAAGAAACTTGAATTTTTAACACACAAGCATTGAACAGGAAACCCTGAGTGCTCTGATAGAAGCACCTCTTTATATACATTTCTAAAATCCTTATCAAAATTGGAAACTAAGAATGTGTACTTTGGGGTTTGAAAATTAATATTTAACCTAAGAAAAAGAAAAACCGATATTGCAGAACAGGATTTGCATGTAATAAACAAGATCGATTTGATTGCTAAAAGACACAGAGATGAGTTAAAAGATGATAATTATAAACGCCTTCAAGTTCCAACTTCCTGAAAACTTTTTTTTATTATTATTACTTGCGTCTTCNTGCAGGTTCACAAGCTCTGGCAGACGTTACTGGTGAAGAAATTGATTATTGTGAGCGGCCTGTGATCCTTGCAGGAGATTTTAATGTGAATTTGTCGTTACCTGAAGCAGAAACATTATTAACCTTCCTTGAAGACAAATTTGGATTGGAAATGATAAATGGTAGGAATGATCCAACAACCAAAGGGGGAACTACCATTGATGCAGTTTTTGCAAAAAATATTGGAAAAATAGAACTCAAACATTTCGTGTCTTACTTAAGTTATCATAATCCCGTTATAAATGTTGTAGATTTGGATATTTCTCCACTCGAAAATGATAATTAAAAGATGCGATCAATTGTGAATTATAAGCAATGTTAATAAAGTTTGTCTTAAAGAAACAATATGATTTCACTAAAAATCAATTTCTACCCCTTCCTATTTTCATTTCCACATTACGAAGTTTCACTTACTCCGCGCGGAGGGACTCCACGCACTATTTTTTCTTTTTGTTCCAGTAACGCGGGTTTGACCGGTGTCTTAATCAGTGTCTTAATTTTGTCATCATCAATTTGTGTAAATCTTCCTAATCAAAGGAGCATCCCTCAAATCAAAATCAACAGCTCAGAATTTCTTTAGCCAGTTTTGGCATTGCCGTTCGTGTAGAGCATTGTCATCGTAAAATTAACGCAATTTTTTATAAGAGTAGTATATGGGGGGGGCTAGAGGACACTTTTGCCCTTTCCATATACTACTATTGATTTCCTATTTTTATATTAAAAAAAATNATTGATAGTTCTCTAGTTCAGATCAAAATTATAATTTGTGAAATAATGAACTGAATACGATTGGCCCTCCCTGTAGAAAAAGCTGAAGTCGAATTCTTGGCCATAGATGGCGCCACTGAAAAAGCAGAGATCGCACCTTCTCCCTCAAATATTCGCTTGATTTCAATCACACTTGCTAATTGGCAAGTGGTATAAGTAACAACAAAACACACATACACGCACATGTTTAAATGTTTACAAGATTTAATCCCCGTTTTAACCTAGTTACTGATGCACTTTAACTCCCAAAAAAATGCAATTAAATAGTTTATTTACTGCACTTTTTGTAATTATACTTTCCATCAAAGAACACAAAACACGTTTTAATATTTTAAACATTTATTGAAAATATTAATCAATCAAGAATGAACTTTAAAATAGTTTTTACTTGTTTAACCTACCTTTTGCAATACGTGGGGAATATCAAGCAATAGCTAATGAATGGAGAAAAGCAAACCTGAAAGAAACTTGAATTTTTAACACGCAAGCATTGAACAGGAAACCCTGAGTGCTCTGATAGAAGCACCTCTTTATATACATTTCTAAAATCCTTATCAAAATTGGAAACTAAGAATGTGTACTTTGGGGTTTGAAAATTAATATTTAACCTAAGAAAAAGAAAAATCGATATTGCAGAACAGGAGTTGCATGTAATAAACAAGATCGATTTGATTGCTAAAGGACACAGTTAAAAGATGATAATTATAAACGCCTTCAAGTTCCAACTTCCTGTTAACCTTTTTTTATTATTATTACTTGCGTCTTCTTTTACTGTAACTCGTCTGATCTGGATAACATTTTTATTTATACCTCACGTAATTACTAATTTGCGACACCGAATGAGTATACTTTTTGTTCTATTTGTACTGTGATTTCTAAAAATGAGCATTAAGTGTGATCTTTACGAAACTCCCATGATTTTTTTTTATACCAAAACCTTAAAATCCATATAAATATTGGCCTGTACTGAACAAACGCTATTCGATCAAGTAATGTTAAATAAAAAATTCGGCAACATTTTGATTAATTAATAATTGAATGATTAATAATTTTTTGAAATAATTTTTCTCAAAAAATCAATATTTTTAGCAATTTACTAGTGTGTTTGAGTGAAAAGAAAAGAGTGTTTTGCCTACGTTATTCATATTAGAAAATCTGTTTGTACTGGCTCCTAATCATTAGTCTCTTATCAAAGATCCTCTACGCAAATAAGAAAACAATATACTGTAATAGTTGTGTAGGTTGTAGAAGTGGACCTCATAATGTTAATTTTAATTTTCGAGTCTTTTTATTTTGTTTCCGGAACTATATATGCGAACTAAAAAGTTATCTTCATAAAATTTTAAAACTCGTTTAAACGAAGGCTATTTTATGGAAGCATAAGTTTTTTTTAAAAAATTATTATGTTTTACATATTATTTAATTTAATAATGATCGAAAACACATAGTCTCTAATGGTGTAAAATTATATACACAATTGTCAGTCATGTATTTCTGAATAACAATATTAAAAATTGCAGCAATAGCTTCTGAATAAGGAAATATATATAAAAAAATCCTGTGATTAAAGCATTATTAGATTATATGTCCTATTTTGGATGTTGTCATTTAAAATAACTAAATTTAAGCACCTTACATAATTATTAATTATAAAAAAGCATTACAAAATAATTATTAATTATTAAAAAAAGCATTACAAAATAATTATCAATTATAAAAAAGGCATTGCATAGAAATATCTTTGAATAATCAAATTTTACTATTTTGTGCAAAATATTTTGATTTGTTGAAATTGAAAATAACTTACTATGGTCCAACCATTCGAATGCGCTCTTGACTAAGTTATTAAGACGATATGTATCGAATCTGAGATAAGGTGAAATGCGTACAAAGTGAAATAATATTAAAGAACCCAAACTCTTGATCTCTCTCTTGCATTTATTATAGGGACCATATCTTTCAAATTACAATTACTTCTCATATATTGGAGATTTATGTATCCAAGTAATTTGAGCAGAAAAATAGATATGCTTATACAGCAAAAAGTTTTTAAGTCTGATTTTATAGCTTGAAGTATAATTAATACAATTAACAACTCAACACATTTAGCCCTTAATAGATACTCACCCAATTTTATAAATCGACGTGTATTCACTTCATTTTGAAGCATGGGTAGCTATTGAGTTTTTTTTAAACTTTATTTTATAATCGTTGTTGAACAGCCGAACCAGTTTGAGTTTACGACTACCAATGTTCAACTCCACAACCTTGTAATTTTGAATCCAATCCAGAGGACAAGAAATTCCGGGATTCAAACATTGGGAGAAATTTACCTTTGTGGAGCAATCTGTAATGGAACTTACTCGCATTTATGTTACATGGGGAGGAAAACTACGAAAACCTCGCACTGTTAGTCTGACAACAAGGGGACTGTAACCCATGATTTGTCTACCAGAGTATATTTTACAGTGTGGTCAGTGTGAACTGAGTGAGGAATTTGTATCAACCAGTCATCGTTAGGATTCGAACCCGAATTCCTCATTGAGAGTTCAACGCTCTATCACCTGGACCAACACAGAGCTGTTAAGGGTTAAGTTAGATCCCAGAAAATTTTATCTTAGTACGTGAAAATGTTGATCAATAGACCAACAGTTCTAAAAGATGATTAAAATCCACATTAAAATCTAGCATTGTTTAACAAGTTTAAACCTTGTAAGTCGCTATTTTTAACACTTTGTATAAAACTTAAATTATTTTGAAACAAATGATAGTTTTTTTTCCATTTTAAAAGGAGATTTTATGCTGTATTAAATGAAACAAATGGCTTTTTGATTACTTAGCTGCCTGACACTTTTCAGACAGCAAAAAATATTGCAATTCAATTCACGAACAAAAGACAAATGAAAATATATAAACAAGCAGTATAGTCGAAAAATTAAAACACCAACTTTAAAATATAATTTTTGTGAAATAAAAAACTCCAAAACTTTGTTTCTATATTGTTTGGATTGATAACTTGTCAGGCAACCAAACATTTTGCACTACGTTTTAATAAACTCGTTTTCATATCTGAAAGGATGGAGTCTTAAAATTAAAATATCGACTACTTTCTGACTAGCAAGAGCATTCGAATTGCTCCTTGAGCTCAATGCTTAATAACAATGCCTTTTCAGTTGTTTTAAAAGAGTTTCACTTATCATATAATAACCGAATAGAATTTATAATTAATCAAAAGTTTGACTATTTTCCAATCAGCAAATATATTAAAATATTAACTTGCGTCTTGGATAACAATACTAATTTCAATCGTTTCCTTAGCACTATATGCAGCATTATTATTATCGTCAATTAAAATTTGTAGTGCGTCTACCACTACAAAGATACAGTTCCAATTCACTAGTATATAAGACATGTTAACTAGATTCTATGTTGGGGTATCTTGTCATTGATAAAGGTAGACACTGTCGATAACTACTAACCCTATATTGGTGACCCGGACGTGATGTAAACACGCCTACCTTGATAGAAACTCCTACTTCGATTTGAACACGTCTACTTCTATGTACGGTCCATACAGAACAGTTGACTTGCTTCTTGTGACTGCGACATTATCCCCCTCCTAGAGCCGTTGCTACTCAGTCTCGATCTCACACAACGCACAGCGTATACACTCGACTGCTAAAGGCAACACAGCGACAATTTCCATGAACTTAATGCAGCTCTCGCAATCAGCACTTAAAACTACCGTGATCTTAATACAGCTCTCCCGGCTTCTCACAAAATGACAATTAATCAACCAGTGGTATCCACTTATCGAATTCTATCACAGCTATAATTCTGCTGGGTGAATACTGTGTGTCTACCACTACAAAGATGCAATTCCAATCCACTGGTATATAAGACATGTTAGCTCAATTCTATGCTGGGATACCTTTTCGTAGATGAAGGTTAACATTGTCGATAACTAGTATCAAATTACAACTAGAACTATAAGACTTATTCTAATACAAGCTGCAATTAGTGCCAGCAAATGGTGTTTTCGTAGCAAGATTTTTCGCCAATTAAAATTTCAACATCTTTCTGACTTAAAGCAACAAGCCTATAATTGAAAGCAGAAAGTAATTCAAATGTTTTTTCAAAGTAAACTTAAAAACAAACAAAAATTATTTTGTTTTTGTAACGCAAAAAGTGAGAAGCTTCACTCGAATCTCTCTTATGTCTTTCGATCAAAATTAATGTCCTCTATGCTTTTCGTCTTAAGATTGGCAATAATATAAACTATTTTTATTTCACTTATTTTTGTTTTACTTATTTTTATTTAATTTATTCTTATTTTATTTATTTTTATTTTATTTATTTTCATTTTATTTAATTTTTTTATTTTACTTATTNTGATTCTGGTGGAACTGAATGAAAACGTGATAAATTAATGTCTGATATTTACAGGCTCCCGCTAGACGGCGTACTCGAGCGTTGCGATCGCGAATTTTATTTACTTTTATTTCATTTATTTTTATTTTACTTATTTTTATTTTATTTATTTTTATTTTACTTATTTTTATTTTATTTGTTTATTTTCAACAGCCGGCAAAGTATCTCGAAGTCTTACATAGACATGCCTGTGGATTTTGCTCATAATGCATGCTTAAAGTGCATTTAATTGAATCGGGTATGTTAGTGGAAACTAAAAGAAAATTTAACTTACCTTAAACTCTTCTATTTTCTTATTGTCAGCAATTTTTATTGGATCAGTTGAAGTTAAAAGATCCTTCTGCAAATAAAATTTGCCTTAAAAAAATCTTATCGTTAAATATCTAAGATTTTGTATTTTTGAAGAACAATTACTTACGCAATAGTGAACCAAAGGCTCGAAAACAGTCGTCAAGTGGCTTTTCTGTAGCAAAATTGAAGGAAATCATAAAGAAAACAAAATTATAAATAAGAAATTGTTAATCAAAATAGCAATAATATAGAAAATAAAATCATTCTATCCTCCTGATTAAATGATCAATCTAAAATTAGTAAGCAGCTTAAGTTTAAAATTTTTAATCAAACACGAATCAACACACACGAAATCAAAGACTTGATAAACGCAAACACTACACGAAATTAAACACTTTACGAAATCAAATACTTTTTTTATAATTTTATAACCGTAATAATTTAATAAAAGGCTTATTTATAGTTATAACCGTCGTTGAACAGCCGGCCCAATTTTTGTGTTTACGTTTACTTATGTTCTAGTCCCTAGCCTTGCAATTTTATACCCGAGCCAGAAGACAATGGAACTCCTGGATCGAGTATTGGGAGAAATTTGCCCTCATGGAGGACTTTTCGATGGAACTAAACGACATTTTCGCATTTGCCTTACTAATCAAAGTAGCAATCAATTAAAAAAATAAATGATTCTAACATCTTGATTAAACGATGAATCTAAAATGATTCAGCGCTTTAGTTAACAGCTTAAATTTAAAATTTGCAAACACAAATCAACGCACACGAAATCAAACACTTGGTGAAATCAAACATTTGACGAAAAGGGTTACACACTTTTTAGAGCAGCGAATTTCGATCGAAAATTTTAGCAACTGTTCTCATGACTGCTAAGTTTAGTCAATCTAAAGCCAGCACTGTCTACTCTTATTTTGAAAATGGTGCAAAACGTCAATATGGAGAAAGGCCACAGTTTTGTGAAAGCGAAAAGCATTTGCGGTCTAATTTTTTTAATACTTAAAAACTTACTCCAATGCTGGATAACTTGGGCTCATAAAAATTTGCGAAAAATGAGAATACGATAGTGATTTTGCGCGGAAAAATTTCACCAAATTGGCGATTTTTAAAAAACGTTACTAAAAGTTAAATAACTAATAAAGAAAAATATTTGAATTTTAAGGTATACAAATTTTTTGATCATTTTACAGAACGTTATTAAGGGAAAATACGAAATTTTAAGAAAATCGAAAGAATAGTTCCGAGAGATATCGAACCTTAAATATCTGACTTTCAAAATATTCCATTTCTCCAAAACTATTTGATCGATTTAGTTCAAATTTTGTATTTTTCCTTATAAAACTAACTTTTTTAAAAAGAAGTAAAAATTTAAGTTTCTTACAATTCAAAACTGTTCGACTATCACTAAATAAAATTATAATTTTTAGTATAATTATCTTTGGATAAGCGAATTTTATAATTGTATACAAGAATTTCTCGATCAGCTTAAAAATTTCCTGACATACACAAAAAATATAGTTAACATTAAGAGGTCCAAATTTTGGACGCCACTCCTGACAGAAACAATTGGGTCCATATTATCCAAATAGGGACAACCCCTTAAACTTTGGGGGTAAGGAACCCAAATCTGACGGAAAAAAAGGTGTGTCTATTCAGTGTCTGCTCTAATTATTTAGCATATTTGAAATCATCCTTTCAAACAGTTAAGATAGAGTTTTAGTACGTGAAAATCCGATCATTACATCAAAAGTTATACGAATTGTTTAATTTTTTTTCAAACTGTATGGGTCTCCTTCTTTTAAATAACATTTTTTTAGTAGTTTTTAATAGTTAGGGGAGTATTTTCGTGACTTATTTTCCTTCGCATTTATTTCAAATTATGTGCGTAGTCCCTTTTTTAAGACCTCAGTAATTAAATAATTGTTTATCCCGGTATGGTAATTTCGTGGGTAAAGGGAGGATAGTTACCAAAGTAAACTGGTAATAGTATGACGTTTTAATTGAATAAATAAAATAAAATCTGTTTCTGATGGAAAATTGCAAATTTTTTATTGTTAATTTTTAATTTAACGTCGAATAATTTAAGTTGTATCCTAAAATTTCATCCACTTTTTAGGTAATAAAACGTATAATAAATAATTAGTAATTTTAAGTATAAAACTATTATGCATATATATTTGGAAATTATAATAAGTAGCTTGAATCGTCCTTACGAATTTCTCTTTGTTCGAACACATATAAGGCAAAAGGCATGAAGTTACGTTTCCCTCTTCGCACGGTGGTAATCCAGGTTCACCTTTGAGATCACATTGTGCAATCACTGTATTTCTAATAAAGTTAATAGCCTGAAATACAATTTAAAAGTCATTAAATAGTTATAAAAAATGTTATATACCATCATTAGAAATCATAAAGTATCAGTGAATGGCTTAAGTANTTCCTAACCTTGCAATTTTGTACCCGACCCAGAAGACAATGGAACTCCTGGATCGAGTATTGGGAGAAATTTGCCTTCATGGAGGACTTTTAGATGGAACTAACCGACATTTTTGCATTTGCCTTACTAATCAAAGTAGCAATCATTTAAAAAATGAAATGATTCTAACATCTTGATTAAACGATTAATCTAAAATGATTCAGCGCTTTAGTTAACAGCTTAAATTTAAAATTTGCAAACACAAATCAATGCACACGAAATCAAACACTTGGCGAAATCAAACATTTGACGAAAAGGGTTACACACTTTTTAGAGCAGCGAATTTCGATCGAAAATTTTAGCAACTGTTCTCATGACTGCTAAGTTTAGTCAATCTAAAGCCAGCACTGTCTACTCTTATTTTGAAAATGGTGCAAAATGTCAATATGGAGAAAAGTCACAGTTTTGTGAAAGCGAAAAGCATTTGCGGTATAATTTCTTTAATACTTAAAAACTTACTCCAATGCTGGATAACTTGGGCTCATAAAAAATTGCAAAAACTGAGAATACGATAGTGATTTTGATAATTTTTAATTATGTGAAAAAATTTCACCAAATTGGCGATTTTTAAAGAAAGTTACTAAGAGTTAAATAACTTTTAAAATATTTAAGGTATTTGTCTGTTCTCAAGACCAGATAATTTTTCGCAATAAAATTAGATGCATAGTTTAAAATTAACGATTTGAAATTTTTAATTTATAAAGAAAATCACCATACTCCTTATGCATATGGCAGTGCCGCCCTCCCCACCCACCCTTCTAAAATAAACACCCTAAATAACTTTGGGTCTAATTATCGAATTTTCACGTGCTTCCAAATGCTATTTAGCTTTTTTTTCTTAATGTTTTAAGTGCATAACCTCAAATATGATAATTATTTAGTGCAGACAACATCCTTAGATATGAATTACGGCAACAAAAAAACTTTCCATGAATTCTTTTTCTTGATAATATACTGATACTTAACTGAAATCTCAGAAATATGGTCCCATAAGTTTGGTCAGGATAGCTAGCCAAAGTTTACATCCTTAATATTAATTTTATTTTTTGCGCATTTTGTCATACCTCGAAAATTTTTTAAGCGAATCGAAAATTTTTTGCACGTAATTATAAAATTTGTCTATCTAAAAACTATGCAAACATTAATTTATAATCATTACTTATTATTATTTCATTTAATAACAGTCGAAAAAAACTTTTAATTTTAAAGTATACAAATTTTTTGACCATTTTACGGAACGTTATTAAAGCAAAATACAAATTTTTTTATGAAATAGGAAGAATAGTTTCAAGAGATATCGAACCTTAAATATCTGACTTTTAAAATATTCTATTTCTTCAAAACTATTTAATCGATTTCTTTCAAATTTTGTATTTTTCCTTATATAAGACTAACTTTTTTAAAATGAAGTAAACATTCAAGTTTCTTACAGTTCAAAACTGTTCGACTATCATTAAATAAAATAATAAGTAATTTTTCGTGTAATTATCTTTGGATAAGCGAATTTTATAATTGTGTGCAAGAATTTTTCGATTCGCTTAAAACTTTCTCGAGATATGGCAAAATACACAAAAAATATAATTAACATTAAGAGGTCCAAATTTTGGACGCCACTCCTGACAAAAACAATTGGGTCCATATTATCCAAATAGGGACAACCCCTTATACTTTGGGACAAATGAGCCCAAATCCGACGGAAAAAAAAGGTGTGTCTATTCAGTAAAAGTACGCGTCTGCACTAATTATTTAGCATATTTGAAATCATCCTTTCAAACCGTTAAGATGGTGTTTTAGTATGTGAAAATCTGATCATTACATCAAAAGTTATTAGAATTGTTTAATTTTTTTTTCAAACTGTATGGGTCACCTTCTTTCAAATAAAGCTATTTTTTAATAGTTTTTAATAGTTTGGGGAGGTTTTTGTGACTTATTTTCCTTTACATTTATTTCAAATTATGTGCGTAGTCCCTTTTTTAAGACCTCAGTAATTAAATAATTGTTTATCCCGGTATGGTAATTCCGTGGGTAAAGGGAGGATAGTTACCAAAGTAAACAGGTAATAGAATGACGTTTTAATTGAATAAATAAAATAAAAACTGTTTCTGATGGAAAATTGCAAATTTTTTATTGTTAATTTTTAATTTAACGTCGAATAATTTAAGTTGTATCCTAAAATTTCATCCACTTTTTAGGTAATAAAACGTATAATAAATAATTAGTAATTTTAAGTATAAAACTATTATACATATACATTTGGAAATTATAATAAATAGCTTGAATCGTCCTTACGAATTTCTCTTTGTTCGAACACACATAAGGCAAAAGGCATGAAGTTACGTTTCCCTCTTCGCACGGTGGTAATCCAGGTTCACCTTTGAGATCACATTGTGCAATCTCTGTATTTCTAATAAAGTTTATAGCCTGAAATACAATTTAAAAGTCATTAAATAGTTATAAAAAATGTTATATACCATCATTAGCAATCATAAAGTATCAGTGAATGGCTTAAGTAAAGAGTGTTCCTTAAAAACCACCCTTAATATGCGTTGTTATAATCAACAAAAATGAAAACATGAAAATACAATACACTATAAAAAAAAAACTCAGTAAATTTATAACCAGTATTTGGTGCAAAGTTTCTCATTATCCCAAAGTTTAACTGACTAAAAGATCATTTTTTTAGTTGCCCCATAAATTGTAAAGTATGATCGAGAAATACTTCCATAGTGCAACTAATTGACCCGAAATTTGATAAAAGGCACTCACTGAACTTTGACTGTGACTATAAACAGAACGATACGATATTTGCTTACAACGCCATGTTTTCTTTACAACTCTGTCTCGGTGTATCGGGACGACTAATGCATGTTGTTTCAAGTATTAACTTAGGTAAAGATAGGTAAATGCATGCATTTGCATTAATTATTTTATATGTTGCCTTTTCCATTTTTTTTAATGTTGCCTTTTTAAATTTGGTAGGCGGTGTAAAATAGTCAGTGGTATGTCATAAAATAACCTACTTATTGTAAATAATTTTTTTACGGTAAATAGCAACCTTGCCCTGAACTTGAGCGACTTGGAAATACCTAATAATGGTGCAGCCTTCCTCTACTTTGGTAAAAGAAAGAATGAAAAGGTGTTTTGTTTCTTCAAAGTTCCTACTTTTGGTGCAACCTTCTAGTGATATTTGGGGCTGGTGAAAACACCAAAATATGGTAAAAATGAGCTCCATCTTTTATAGCCAGCAAATGAATACCAATTTTTGGTGCAACGTGCCAAGGAATTTTTAACAGTTGAGGACATGGAAATATAAATTGCAACATGAAAGTACAAATTACAAATC